GTAGATGGTCTGTGTTTAGAGAGGGGCTTATTTTACAGAATACTTAAGGAGTGCAACTTAAATGAATCAAGATGCAACAGCGTGTACATATTCATGTTTCTATCTTTATGCATCGTCGCGATGTGTGCGCATGACATTGGTGTCGTTAGCTGTGTACTTCCGGCACCGGAAATGTCAGGGGAGATCAACCCTTGAGTCCTGTCTGAGTTAATTTCATTGAGCCCTCGTCTTCCGAGCGAGACACTTGGTGAGTAGGAGAGATTAACATCTTGTCCGAAACTGATAGGTGGTAAGGTTACCATCTGTTAATCATACAGGTTTACCGCTTATTCGCATGCTCTCTCTCTCTCTCTCTCTCTCTCTCTCTCTCTCTCTCTCTCTCTCTCTCTCTCTCTCTCTCTCTCTCTCTATCTATCTATCTATCTATCTATCTATCTATCTATCTATCTATCTATCTATCTATCTATCTATCTATCTATCTATCTATCTATCTATCTATCTATCTATGTGTGTGTGTATGTGTGCATGTGTGTGCGCTCGAGCATGGCTTTATGTGGTATGAATGTGTAGGTTTTAATGACTACTTAAGAAAGAAAGAGAGAGAGAGAGAGAGAGAGAGAGAGAGAGAGAGAGAGAGAGAGAGAGAGAGAGAGAGAGAGAGAGAGAGAGAGAGAGGGGGTGGTGGTGGCGGGGAGAGAGATAGAGAGAGGGATAAAGAGAGACAGAGACAGAGACAGAGACAGAGACAGAGACAGAGACAAAGACAAAGACAAAGACAGAGACAGAGACAGAGAGTGAGACAGAGACAGAAACAGAAACAGAAACAGAGACAGACAGAGAAACAGAGAGACAGAGAAGATACAGAAAGATACAGAGAGGTAGGGAGGAGAGAGAGAGAGGCCACATTTGGGTCACTGTTCAACCAGTCTCGAAAGACGCTTATAATTCAGTTTGCGAATCAGAGAAGAGGAGTTGGTGTAAGATAGAATTATTAATGTACTTTTACAACAACTCTACTTGCAGAGATAATAAAATTGCCTTTTTTCAGACAACAAAAATGTTGGTGGGGTCAGAATGTGAACATAAAAATATATTTCGCACTGAAAACATCCCGACCTTATACCTTGCAATAAAATGTGTTCTTTGACCTGGCCACCGAAGCATCATGGAATAATAACGAGCATTACCTAGTTGTGGTTCTGATCTTCTTTTATTATTTTATCTTGTTTCTCTTTTCTTTAGATATGAGTAGATAGGATAACTGTGATTACTGTACATTAGTACTAAAAATTCTCTCATCCACACTCATAATCTGGTCCGAGGTTTCTACTGTTTTTTAAAATAATTTTTATATTTAAATTTCTTTTATGGGGGGGGGGGGGTGATTGGATTTTTTAAAATGCCTAGAGCTGTGTGCACACGGGAGCAGGCGCTATAACAATTTTATTATTAGGCCTATTATTATCATTATTATCACTATTAGCATTATTATCATTATTGTTATTATCATTGTTGACATTATTGTTGTTGTTGTTATCATTATCATTATGATCACTATTATCATTATTTTCTTATTATCATTATTTTAAAAATTATTTTTGTAGTTGTTATTATCATTATTTTAAAAATTATTTTTGTAGTTGTTATCGCTATAGTTATCGTTATTATTATTATTATTATTATTATTATTATTATTATTATTATTATTATTATTATTATTTTGTTGTTGTTGTTGTTGTTGCTGTTGCTGCTGCTGCTGCTGTTGTTGTTGTTGGGAGGGGGCAAGATCTATACGACCTACTCGGCACTATAATAGTCTGTTCATAAGGTATCTTTAGTCTTGTTAGAATAAAGAATGCGGAATAGAAGGAAAGCAGAGAAGCATTTTTATCACACCCCTATGGACACAATTTAGATCATCCAGGAGGCGGGCTGCGAGCCTGCCTATCAGGGTCAACCCGGGGTGAGACAGAGAGAGATACAACATTCCAGCAGAAGGACCGACGACATGCTCGATAAATACAATTCTCCCTACCGCAGAATCGAACCCGGGTACCCTTCATGAGACGGCGAAGCACCTAATGCATAATCTGTAGCTACCCCACAGACGCCAGTGGAAAGCAGAGACGACACACGACAATATCGCATCAGCACATCAAAGACAATCAAAGACAATCAAAGACAATCATTATTCCTCCAGTTATCGGGTTAGAGATGCTGGAGGGGTGCAGTGGGAATATTAAATGAATACACAATGGGCAAACGGGCTTGAAATTTGATACTTCCAAGCTAACCAATAAAACCGAAGACCACCCCCCCCCCCTCACAAAAACACCCTTCACCTCTACAAATTATAAATTGATAAAGGACAAGAAAACCAATTTTAGCAGAAATTGTATCTGATCATCATTGAACGTAAACACATTAATTCAAGGTGCTGTTCGTTGTCAAACAATTCAAAAATAAAAAGACAAACAAGTGAAAAAAAAGAAAAAAAGGGAAATAAAGAGGATTTTTAGGAAGTGTCTTTCGCGTATGTAAATTCAGTAATATAAAACAATTTTTTTTAAACCCAAAAAGTAATAAAAGATTACAGGCTGCTGCAATAAGATAAACTATGATGAATTACTACAGAAAGGAGGAGAGAAGAAACAGTAGATCAATAAATCATCAATCTACCAATCAATCAATCAATCAATCAATCAATCAATCAATCAATCAATCAATCAATCAATCAATCAATCAATCAATCAATCAATCAATCAATCAATCAATCAATCAATCAATCAATCAATCAATCAATCAATCAATCAATCAATCAATCAATCAATCAATCAATCAATCAATCGATCGATCAATCAAAGGAAATGGGGGGGGGGCTTGGGGTGACAGAAAAAAGGGAAAAGACAGAGAGATAGGCAGATTGACAGAAAGAAAGAAAGAAAGGCATCCCAAATACGGTGTAGTAGCGAACACAATAAACCCAAAACATAAAAAAACAAAGGGAAAAAACACAACCCAGCAACACCATACATTTGACGAGGACACGATCAAATAAATAAATAAATAAATAAATAAATAAATAAATAAATAAATAAATAAATAAATAAATAAATAAATAAATAAATGTAAAAAAAATATAAATAAATGGGCTATTGGTAAAAGTAAAGTAAATAAATAAATAAGTGAAAGAAAGGCTTAGTTGACTAACTCGTTGGAAATTTAATACAGTCAGGGTTTTTTTGTTTTTCTATTGGTTTTTTTTTGTTTTGTTTTTTGTTTTGTTTTTTTGTTTTTGTTTTTGTTTTTGTTTTTTTGTTGTTGTTGTTGTTTTGTTTTGGTTTTTTGGTGGTTTTTTTTTTTTGGGGGGGGGGTTGCTTCGAATCCGTCAAGGAAGTACCTAACGAGTTTAGTGGGTGTCCAGCAAGGGATTTCATTTATTAGAATTTATTTAATGATAAATCCTCGATTGAATAATTTAGTAAAAGAGCGATTGTTTATCTACCAATTTTGTTTAGCTAGTTAGATGAATATCGAACAACTAGGCAGTCAGTTCGTAATACTATAGCCTATTAAGTGTAAACCCTACATCTTACAGCAATTAATTTTATCTCGCGTATTTTCCTTCTTTCTATCAACTCGTAGACTTTTTCGTCTCTTAGCTAAACGTTATGTTCTTCTCTTTAAGAATACTGTTTTCAACTTCACGGACTAGGAAAATGAGTCAGTGTATTACCTGAGCTTGCCTTGATCCAATACAAATGTATTTTGGGGAAAATATGACGATGAAGAATATCAGGAACATCATGACTGGTGTCTTTGGTGTAGCTGTTAGAAGCTTCGCTCTAGCACAAAGGAGACCCGGGTTCAATTCCTGAGTGGGGGGAATTTTTAAAAAGTACATCTGTCTTAATCGAGTTTTTTAAATTGAGTATTGTATCCCTCTCAGCCCCGGTTAGCCGTAAAACCCTGTACTAAACAAAAAATCAGCCCCGTTAGCGCCCTGACAAGCTGCATCGGAAGCTCGCCTCCTAGATTATGATCTAAATTGTGTCAATTAGGGCTTAAAAACATAATATGCATTAAAAATTCTATAGAACATTGAGTACCGGCAAAAGCTTTCAAATACATTTGAAATACCCGCCTCACTCCCAGTGCTCATACCTACCTGTCCTGTGTACCCGCCCCGGTCGTCCATTCTGGTCCTCAACTCCTGTGGCTATCACCCAGCCTCCCTTCTGTGGTTCAAGACACTCTTTTCTACACGACACATTTCTCCGTCTCTCTGAACTGTCATATCGCTATTCAATGAAGAAAGAAAAGACATTTTTGATCGATGCTATTCTTTAGTCAAATAGAGAGGCTTGGGGAAGAAATTGAGAGTATGAGAGCTAGACACTCCAAGAGGGAGAGAAAAGTTGAGGGTGG